ACTGAAAATGACAATGATTCACTTTGATACCCATTCTGATTTGATTACTACCTGTTTTTGTAGTTCTACACTGTCTAAAAAGTTGTATTTCTATTAATACTGTTATGTACTGATATATTCAATTATACTTTAGCTGATGATATAGCCAATTCTATTGATGATAACAAGAGACAACACAGTAATCATGACAGAACTCTTTGTACAGCAGTTTTATATGTCTTTGTAGTTTTATGTGTCTATTGGAATATGTTTTGTTCTGTCCTGCTTTGTTCTGTTTCTCCCTCTAATATAGAAAGGGTAGAAATACATGTTAAGACTCATGCTTGCATAAAACCTAAAAACAGTTTACAAGAACTGATCTTATGACGCATGATGAACAAATGCTTTGAAGGAAAAAAAGGCACTACAGTACCTAGTGCTGATCCTGGAGTGTCATGATGTGAAATCCAGCAATACTATGAATCTTTGTTCAGAGCAATTTTAGTCTGCTTTCGTTTATTTAATCTCAACATAAATGAAGATATGTATAAATGCATACATGTTTAAGTGTATAGGCTTGATAGTCATATTACAAAGTTTTCATTAGCTAGTTGAACAGAACTTTTTGCAGTCTCCCTGTTTGAATTCCCATTTATATGTTCCACTTTTGTATCTTGAACAATTATTTGTAAGAAGACAATATGTAAACATCAACAAGTGATTTATTACTGTTTATTTTTTTCTTTGAAAGTATGTACTATTTCTACCCATTTTCTGTTTTGTTTTGTCTTTCTTTAAATAAAAAAGAATAATTCATATTTTTAAAATATCCTTTGTACTCATCTCTCTCTATATATTCAATGCAATCTCCATCAAAATTCCAATGACATTTTTCACAGAAATAGAAAAAACTAAAATGTGTACAAAGTCACAAAATATCTCAAATAGCTAAAATAAAATGTTAAAAAGAACAAAGTTGGAGGCATCTCACTACTTGATTTCAAACTATCTTGCAAAGCTATAATTAAAACAGCATGTTACAGGCATAAAAATCAACAATGAATATGAATAGAGCCTAAAAATGAATGTAGGAATTTACAGTCAACAAAGTTGCCAACAATACATAATGAAACAATGACAACCTCTTTTTGGTTGGTTGGTTGGTTGGTTTGAGAGAGAGTCCTGTATGTAGAGCAGGTTAGTCTTGAGAGCTTGCTTATGTAGTCCAGGCTGGCGTTAAACTCACGGCAATCCTCCCGCCTCACTCTCCAAAATACATGTGTGCACCACCACACTTAGCTTGACAACCTCTTTTAAAAAAGAAGTTGAGAAAACTGAATATCCTCATGCAAAACAATGATTGGACTTTTATCTCATACCATATATAAGAATCAATTCAGGCCAGGCATATTGACACATGCCTCTAATCCCAGAACCTGGGAAGCTGAGGCAGGAGGATCACCATGAATTCAAGGCCAGTCTAAACTATATAACAACACCTGTCTCAAAAGAAAAAAAAAATCAATTAAAAATGGAACAGAAATTCAAATGTAAGACCCAAGACTGTAAAACTGCTAGGAGCTGGGTATAGTTGTACATGGCTGTAATATCAGCATTTGGGAAGCTGAGGCGAGAGGTCATCATGAGTTCTAGGCCGGCCTGGGCTACACAGTGAATTCAAGGCCAGCCTAAACTACATAGTGAGACCTTGTCTCAAAAAAAAAAAAAAAAAAAAAAAAAAACCAGGGAAATCTAAATGGCAGTGATTTGCAATAGTATTTTTAGATTTGACCCTAAAAGCTCAGGCAACAGAAGCAAAGTATACAAATGGGATTACACCAAATTAAAAAGGTTTTACACAGCAAAGGAAACAACTGACAGAATGCAACTATCCAAAATATACAAGGAACTCAATAACAAGAAAAACAACATGCCCAGATATTTTCCTTTTTTCTTTCTTTTCCCTAGATTTTTTAAAAGGGCACATTAGAGACTGACAGGGTGACATACTGCTGTAATCCTAGCTACTTAAGAGGCTGCGGCAGGCAGACTGCAAGTTTGAGCTTTGTCTGGGCAACTGAGAAAAACGCTATCTTGAAATTTAAAAGGCTGAAAATGTAGTTGAACTATGGAGCACTTGATGTGCAAGGCCCTGAGTTAAATCCTCAGTAGCAGGGATCGGGAGACTGGGTCAGCAGAGAGCACCTATGGTTTTAGCTTTCTGGAGGATGAAGTGGAAGGATTGCTTGTGTTCAGGAGCTGGAGACCCGCCTGGCCACATGGTGACATCCCATAGCCCCAAATTATTTTAGAAGGTCAAAGAAACTCAATTTAAAAAAAAAGACATACAAATACCAACTGATACATTAAAAAAATGCTCAATATCGGTAATCATTAGAGAAATGTAACTTTATGATTGAAGCAAGAGGGAGTATTTTGCTTTTTTTTTTTTTTTCTTTTTGGCACTAGGGATCAAACTCATGACTTTGTGTTTGCCAAGCAGTCACTTACACCACTGAGCTAAACCCCCAGCCCTTGAGAAATGTAATTTTAAGCCACAGTGAGATATTTCTTCATACATGTCAGAATGGCTGTCATCAAAAAGACAGATGTCAGTTGCTAGAGCAGATGCATAGAAAAGGGAATCCTTCTATGCTACTGGTGAGAATGTTCATTAGTACAGCTATCATATGAAACTGTAGAAGTTCTTTGAGAAATGAAAATTTGTTTAGATGTTCGTATGACCTAGCAATGTTACTTGCAAGTATATATCCAAAGATTTTGAATTCAGTGTTTGCATTCCCACACTCACTGCAGCTCTATTCACAATGGCCAGTTTAAGGGCTCTCCTTAAATGTCTGTCCATCATGGGCTGAATGGATAAGGAAGGCATAATATATATGTACAATGGGATGGTATCCGTCCTTTGAAAGATGGGGACTCCAACACTTATAGTATGAATGAACCTGGAAGACATTATCCTAAGTTCAATAAATCAGGCACAGAGATACAAATACCTAAGACTCTTGGGCTCCTTCCTAGGCCAGAACCCTAACCCCACTTCAGTTGCCTAACTGTTGTTAAATGCTTAAAAGAAATCTCCACCGGGTATCTGACCAAGTGCTTAAATTTAATGTCCGAATAGACCTATCCACCACACTTTTCCTGTGAAATCTAAAACAACTGAACTCATAGAAACAGAGAAGATGCTGTCAAAGGGGACAAAATTTCAGCTAGATAAAAGGAATATGGTTTTTGAGATGTACTGCACAGTGTAGTGACTATAGTTAATGACTCAAATTTCAAAACTGCTAAAAGACATTTCAAATCTCACCACAAGAAAATAGTATTTGTGTTGGTGGATATGTTTTTTTGTTTCATTTTTCTGTACTCCAGGATTAAACTCAGGGCCTTCAAACTGAGCTACATCCTCAGCCCTTTGTTTCTTTTTTATTTTGAGATAGGGTCTTGCTAAGTTGCTAAAATGCCCAGGCTGGTCTTGAACTTGAGATTCTTTTGTTTTATCCGCCCAGAGTGCTGGGATTATGAACTTGCATGGATATGTTAATTAGCTTGATTTAATCATTACACATTGTATGCCATATATCACATCTCTTTGTACCCCATCTGTACAAACAACTATAATTTGTCAATTTACAATAAAATTTTAAAAATAAAGAATTTAATAGTAAAGAATTTTTAATTAAAAGTAATTTTTAAGCCAAAAGCCATTTTTATTCTCTGGGATTTTCTAATCATTGGCATTTGCTAATAGGTCAGCACTCTAACTCTGGCTTAGAAGAGAGGCTGAGAAGTTTTTTATGACAACAAATAGAGTTCATTCCCAGTGCCTTTAGCATATTTGATTCAAACAATCTCTACAGCTGCACCACTCCACAAACCATGCTGTTTTCCTAACCACCTGCTAACTGGTTGGACACTGTTCTTTTTCAGTGCCCCAGACCTCTCTGTGACCACTGGAGAGTTCAGGTCCTAGTTTTGTGATATCGTAAGAACAGGTTGAAGTAAGTGTTAGGCATTTCAGCTCCCTGTTAGGAGCCCATCTCCCAAACTCCAGGGAAGAATACATCAAGTAGCAAGATATACAGCCCTCCTGCTGCCTCAAACTGCCCAAAACCTGGATCTCTTTTCACATTAATTGATATTTCTGACCCTTCATATTTAAAGCCAGATATAAAGAAAACTAAAGTTGGATTTGGAGTTAAGACGAATGCTCAAAAATCAGATCCCCGCACCATTTCCTCATCAGCAAAGATGCATTAGAGACAGCCATTAGGTCGTCTCCATTGCCCTATTTTACTGGCCAGTGCCATCCAAGCAGCTCACATAACACCAGTGCTGCCGTCAGAGCTGCCCAGGTGAGGCTTTGTGTGCAGGGCAGGTGGGGAGTGGCTCCTATCTAAGCCCCATCTGCACAGGCTGGGACGGACCGGGCGGCACGTACAGCACTGGCAGCGCCAACCCTACCCCCTCCCAATTTACAGGTAGGGGACAATCTAACAATCATTATAACCATACAACTTTAAAAAAACCCTGCTCTTTTAAGATTAAAAGAAACACATGTGTATCACACAAACAATTAAAAATAATAGAATCATTCTCACAGATTGAAAGGTTCCCATTAGTGATTTGAGAACAAACAGATTCTTTCTAACACAGAGATTTGTTCTAACCATAGGATGCAGATATCAAAAATTTGCCCCTGGTTTTTAAGAAAAATGTATATAATCCTTTTTTTCTCGAATCTCTCTTTCGTTCAGGACAGATAATAAAGAATTTAAGGATATACAATGGTAATAACTAATAGTAGCATCATTATAAAAGAAAACGTAATTCAAACTCTCTAAAGAAGGGAAACAGGAGAACAAATGGAAAAGGAAGATAAAGGAATCCACACAAAGCACATAAGCTGGGAATGATGCTTGGTTTCCAGAACAGCGCTGAAAGCTAGCTTTGCACACCCTCTTTCTTAAGTCCTCTGTCCCCCAACATCCACTCACCTGCCTTTCTTAGACATCTCGTGTACGTCTCTTCCTGGCCAATGCACTCTGCTTTCAGTGGCCAAAACCCATCCCCACCACAAAATAAAGATGCCAAATTTCATATTGTGGACAGCCAACATGGGTTTCCAAATCCAAACAGCTCTCTCCAGAAACTGCGAAAAGAAAAGGGATGTTCTTTTTCTTTTTTAAGACATTATTGGTCTGTTCATTAGTAAGAGGATGTTTACTCATGCAAAAAATCAACCAGCAGTATGTAATCTGGTGAGCAGGAGAAAGCAATTTCCACTAAACCTATAAATCCTCCTACGTCAGATGTCAGGGATTTTCTGAACAGAGGTTGAATTTCTGTGTCCCTGAAGAACAATTATCTTGGCTGGTCTAAATTGGTTAATCATCAAATTCTGATCAATGTTGGTAAAGTTCTGTATTTTTTGGCCTATTGAATAGAAGGAAATAAAAATGGATCAAAGTAATTTCCAGAATTTAAAGGGCCCAAGGCGCTGAACTACTTGGCATGTCATGTTAATGAGCTCCTCCCCAGTTCTATTTTAAGCTGTCAGCCCTTACTATTTGCTGAGCTGAGGGCTAGATTTGAACAGCTCCCTGCCCCCTCATTGCATTGTGGCTGAATCCCTAGACTTTCAAGGATCGATCGGTACCTGGACAGACCTTCTATATAGACAGAACAAGTAGAGGCTTAAAAATAAAAACCTTGTTCTGCACAGAGAGAACTAAATTTCCTTGTCAGTTGCATTATTCTTATGAACTGAACTTCATTGACAAATACTGGCAATGACTGCACTATAAATATCAAGTCTGTTGTCTGCAGATGGTATTTCTTTCCCTTTGACACTTGCTCAGAGACTGCAATAATATATCGATAAGCTAACAGTCTCACAACCTGTGGATGAGGGATACACTCGGTTTTCCAAATTATGGGCTGTTCAAAGCCCAACTGACATGGTTTGGATAGCATCCATACTCTCTTGGACCAAGTAAGTAAGATTCCTAGAACTCTGTAGCTGAAAGACAGACAGATTTACCACCAATCTAAGATCCCACAGAATAAGAACTGAGTGCTGCTATGTTGCTTGGATATGGTTTGAGTGTATCTCCCAGAGGTCTGTGTGCTGGAATCTTGGTTCTCAGAGAGGCAATGTTGAGTTGATAGAACCTTTAAGAGTAGGATGTAATGAAAGGTAATTAGGTCATGTGCAGGGCTGTCTTCAGAAGCCTTCGATGTAGTTCTGAAGAGACCCTACTGCTTCCCAAGAGAGTGAGTTGTGTAAAAAGAGAAACCTGACTTTCTCTTGTCTTCTGTCTGATAGTGAGACTGTTCTCTTCATCTCTCATTTCCTTCTGCCACGATACCATCTTCCAAGTTCTGATGTAGCTGGAAGGCCCTCACCAGAGGCTGAAATGATGGATCCTCCTGACTTTGGACTCTCAGTTTCCAAAACTGTGAACTAAGTAAGGATTCTTAAAAATACATTATTCAGTTATTTTCTTACAGCAACAGAAAATGGACTAACAATTATAATAGACTAAAAGCATTGATGAAGGGAATTTTATTGAGGTTATTTAGAACATTGTTGACTTATTTCAGAGTTGTATTTCCTAGATATAGAAACCCTTCCTCTTTATTCTTATGCTACCTATGATTCACAATAAATAGTGAATTCTGCTTTCATAAACTAAAATGAAACATTTTAAAATATTATGATTCCCACTGATGTGATTCTCTCCTTCCAAACTGAGAAGCACCCTGCCTCTTTACACTTCATGATGATACCGTTGTTTGCATAGATTCAGTAAGAATCTGTTGTCCTTTATGCCAGGATAATTGGAAGAATTGATAATGCAACCAAGCCTTGCCCAGGATTGTGGTATGTAATAGTGAAATTCATTTAACTAGGAGTAACGAGGTATTTTAAGGGAAAAACGTTGGCTGTATTTATGGAATCTATGTTTGTGTAATTGGCTTAGGGATAGTTTATCGAGTCTAGATTGACAGGTAATGACAAAAATCACCTCCAACCAAGTCCTTATCTTTTACAAAGTGTGGAGGAAAAGGATTTGCAGGTAAAATTTGGTAGAACTTCTTAGGCTTGGTTTCCTAACCTCAGTAGCATAGAAAGCAATAGACACTTAAAAGGTCCAAACTAGGGGTGGGATTTGGCTCAGAGGTATAAGCACCTGCCTGACAAGCACAAGGTTGTGAGTTCCATCCCCAGTACCAAAAAAAGGAAAAAAAAAAAAGAAAGAAAGAAAAGTCCAAACTAATATTCCTTATAGTAGCTTCTAGACAAAAATTAATTTGATATTATTCAATATCACATGGCTCTAGATTTTGCAAAATCAGCTGTTAGGAGCCTCTTTGGTGATGATACTCTTTGATGATTCTATGGAAGAAATCAACTAAACCTAAGGAAACCAACCTCCAGGTGTGTATGTGTATATGTGTGTGTGTGTGCGTGCGTGTGTTCAGGAACAATCAGTCTTTTAAACCCTGTATAATCATAAGAACAAGGAAGCTTGTCCAAAATCAAGTCATTAGCCTTTAAAATAGTCAAAAAAAGGGCCAGAGATTTAACTCAGTGGCTTAAGCACCTGCTTGGCAAGTGCAAGGTTGTGAGTTTGATTCCCAGTACCAAAAAACAAACAAACAAAAACCCAAATAAAATAGTCAAAAAAGGTTACTGAATGTCCTTTCAGTAGAATGCTGAGCCATGTACAGCAGATCTTCCCAGAATTACCTGATTTTATGGGATGAATGCCTCTGATTGTCCTTGACTAAGTTATTCCACAAGTCTATAAAGGCAGACATTGATATTAATGCCTGTCATTCCTGTCTGGAACCATACAGATGACCTCTTTTGTCTGATAGAGGCTATAAATCCCTGTAAATTAAGTCTTCTTTTAAATCATTTGTTACATCTTACTGGCCCTCTCACTAATTAAATAGAACTTTTGATAACTTGTTCATTTTATAGGAACCTGAGAGTCTTCTTTTATAAGTTATCCTTTAAGAGGACTGTCAGGAAATAAAGGCAGAGCACGTGATGTCTGCAGAGGTAAAGTACGGTTGGCATGATCAGATAATCTGTAGTCACTTACTGAACTGAAGAACCAAGGGACAAAGGAAAGATACCCCGGGGTCGAGTACATCAAAATGTGCAGAACAGAAATGCGTAAGTTGGGTATTGAGAGGGCATGAATGGACATGTGATGCCACATTGGGAAATACCTTTCTCTCTTGGTTTAGAGGCTAGCAATAGAGTCCAGGAATTTGAGCATAACCAAAGAGAGCAAATCTAGAAGTCCTCAAACATGAATGTTCCCCTCAGTAGCTTAGCAGAGAGCTGACTCACTGGTCTGAGTCAGCTTAGTCAGCTTACCGGGAGGACAAGCTGAGACTACCTGCTGAGCCTCCACAGCAAAGCTTTCCTGTCCCAGGGCACGAAGACTGAGGCCTGGAACCAGGCCTCTTACAGACCTCTGTCCTTGCCCCAGGTAACGACACCCAGCCCAAGTAGTCCTCTCACTTCAATTACGAGAGCCCAGAAAGCCAGGTACACTTTGCTGCTCCCTGATTATAAGCATTTTTCTTATTTTAAAGAGATTAAGACAAAACAGGACAACAGAGTAGATCAGAACAGAACAATGTAAGCAACACAGTATTTCACCAGAAGACAACCCATAATTAACAGTAACTACCATGATGTCTCTTTCTTTGAAATAGTTGAGGATAACTTCATATACAATACTATTAAACATAACAAAATAGTATAAAAACATTCAAGAGAATGAGAGTATTACAGGGCTTTCAGAACCAAATAATAGAAAATAAACAATAGCTACGATATTATCTCATTTTCCCTAGAAAATTTGTTTATATTTTCACACGTAATACAGTCCAATAGGGTACAACATGATAGAGCCAATGGAAACAGAAGAGAAAGAGAATGGTAGGACTTCAGAGTAAGATGATATTATATCAGTACTGGCTATTATAATGACTTGTTTCCCTCAAATTAGCTGTTCAGACCATCACAGATAATAATATCAAAAACCTGGGACAAACACAATACAACTGTGATCATTATAAGGTTTCAAAACAATGTAATGGAGAATGGTTACCCTAAACTCTAATGTACTCTTACTATTTCTTACACTAGGCAGACCATATAGTATTTATACATGTGAGTTTGATTTATTTCGCTTATGAGTATGGTCTCACGTTGTACTCATTTATTTGTAAATATCTCAATGTGATCATTCTTTATAGTTGAGTAGTACTCCACTATATAAAAATACAACTTTTTTATCCATTCTTCAGTTGATGGACACTTAGGTTGTTTCCAAGATCTGCTATTATAAATTGTGTTGCTATGAACATAGGTGCACATATATCACTGTGGTATGATGTTTTCAGTTCTTCTGGGAATATGCCCAGCAGTGGAATAGCTGGGTCAAATGGGACCTCCACTCCCAGATTTTTGAGGAATCTCTAGACTGACCTCCACAGTGGTTGCACCAGTCTGCACTCCCACCAACAGTGCAGGAGAGTTCCTTTTTCCCCAATTATAAGCATTTTAATAAACTGCATTTTCCATTAGCACCACAGGCTACACTGTGGTGAACATCTATGCCATCTTTGTAGGACAAAGATGTAGGAGGGAGCTGTAAAGATGAAGTGCTGCCTGAAAGAAGCAGATAGGGCCAATGCCAAGCTTAAGAAGGATCTAGACAGACTGAAGTATTATATTTCCAGATCAATTTTTAAAACAAAAAAAATTTTTGTTTTTACCAAATTTTATCTTTTTCCTAAATCAGTGTGTCGCAGAGACTTAGAGCTCAGACCTACAAGTGCCCAAACTAAAAGCATGATGAATCTTGACATCTCTACCTTCATTTTTGTACCTGTCTCCTTCATTAAGCTAAAACTTTAGGTCAGAGTCTTGCTTGGCTCTTGTTCATAGGCATGTTAATCACTTAAAGAGTGTTACTAATATAGGGTTCATTAATGCTAATTACCTACATATATCATCTTCTTTCAAGACTGAGAAAACCAAGAAAAGAGTAACTGAAGTAATTGGTCAGGAGTTGTAAGGCTATCTAATTGCTGAGATTTACAGACATTCAGTTCCAGACCCTTAGGAGTATGCCTAGAAGTCTTCAGTCATTGTCCTAAACTTGGACTCCAGCAAAACCAGAGCCTCGAAGGCTACCCCATGAAGGTATTTCTTCCCAACTAGAAACAGTTACCTATAATGGAAACTGAGGAAGCGAGGAAGCCCCTGCCCTGCAAACAGAGC